CCTCTTTACAAGCCGGCATTAGTACAGTTCCCGCTGTACTTCAGCCTGCTCTGGCTGCAAGCGCTGGAGGTCTCATAGACCCCGGCGTTGTGGTCACATAGCTTTACACATTACACGGGGTTAAGGCAATGTATGTGGTGGGGCACCAGGCTTTAACCCTTTCTCTGCACGAGCCATTTTTGAGATGCACCGATACCGGTATTTCGTTATCGAGTACCTATATTTCGGTACCGATACCGGTACTTCCGCTAGCATGGTGCAGGCTTTCTGGGCAACATGCCGCCTGGCTTCTTGATTGGCTGGGAAGCCAGCTTACCGGCCAAAAAGCATGGAACCGGCTTCCTGGCCAAACAGCATCAAGCTGGCTGTTTGGCCGGCTCCGTGCTGATTGGCCAGGAAGCCATCCTATCAGGAAGCCAGGTTGCAAGTCATTACCCGCCACCTGGCTTCGCTCAATGTTCCCTTGCGGCAATGCTGGTCAGAGGAAATCTCCCTCTGACCAGAAGTTCCGATATCGGGGGAGTACGAGTACTCCCCCCAAATACTCTGTATCGGCACATCCCTAATTAATACAACATAATGTCACCTTTCTACTTCATTCAACCTGATCAAGCACAGATCAGCCACAGAGGCTGGAGAATGAAAGCTGTGAACCCGGAAGTGACTAATTCATCGTTGCTTCTGGGTTCTTTCACAGGAGAGAAGATGAGCGAACGGATGTTCGCTGGTCTCCCCTCCATCTTGCCACCTACATCCGCCATGGCTGTCTCGGGCAATCACTGCCCAAATCACTTCCAACACAAAGCCGACAGTTGCCATGTGTGTGCTGAATACAGTGGGGGGAATTGATCAAAATATTGAGCAGTTGCCCATGGCAACCAATCAGCTTCTCTTTTCAGTTAAGCTTTGAAATGCAAGCTTGAAGGTGATCGGTTGCCATGGACAACTGCTCTAGATTGTCAGCTCCAGTTTGATAAATCCCCTTCAGTGTGATTAAAAGCCTGTGCTGCTGCCGACATAAGCCTTATGTAAATGAAAGTTTTAACGTGAACCTGTTGCTTGAATCTGTGCAAACAACTGTTCACTCTGTCAGTCTGTAGACTGGCATTCATCTGATTGTTAGCTCGCAGTCTGATAAAATACTTACATAGCTATTCCCACAAATCCCTTTAGGGGAACAATACCCCATATCACCCCTAATATAATGGCCAGGATCTGCCGCATCCAGTAGATGACATCGAGGAATTCATCCTGTAAAGGGGAGAGAAGGAAAGAAGTCAGTACATTGCATGAAAGGTTTGTCTGTTTCTGTGATCAGTTGTTTAAGACGCAGTTGCCACGGCTTGGTGTAATTCTGCTGCAACAGCTGCAGGTCTGACATGCCGAGTCAGCACCTCCAACTTACAGTAATCCCCAGTGCGTGCATATAATGCTATTTATAGGAAGTACAATGAACCCAAGCCTCACTAAGAAATCTTCAATCACTTCTCAAACAGAAAGTGACATTGATTACCAATAGGGGCATATTTATAAAGCAGTGAATGTCACATTCAAACATGCACCACAGGTATATCTTACTAGTACATATATTTTAAATGACAGTGATTGAATCAATCACTGTCATTTAGTGAATCTTTGCTACATCGTGTACATTTACTGCTTTATAAATATGCCGCTCAGCTTTTTTCACACACAAGAGTTTAGGAAACAAACTACATTCCGATTTCTATATTTGTTGTTTATTAGAAAACGAAATCTGACCACTGAGTCATTACTGGTGGCTGCTTACACAATCATTCCCGTCACTCATGCAGCTGGGTAGATCGACAGCATTGTCGGGATCCGTCCAGGCTGCGACGGGCTCAGTATACCGCAAGCTGTAGCTCGCTATATCCTGAGCTTTGGGTCACGGGAGGACGCTAGTATATGTCCTCCTGTGACCCTTAAGAGAACTATGGGGAAAAACACTTACTCCATAGTTCTCTTTTAATTCCAATTTGCTAAAATTGCGATCACGGGATTATAATGAAAACAAAGGACACCCAAAGAACTTTGGGCAGCCCCAATGGCACTGGGTGAGAATCTAACAACAACGCACACCTTTAAAGTGTGTGTTAAGGCAAAAGTTTGGAGTAGGGATTGGTTAAAGCCCCCCCCCCCCATCTATGTCCTATTGCAGGGGTGGGCAAATTCCAGCCCTCCAGCTGCAGTGCAACTACAAATTCTATTAGGCATTGAGAGACTGACTGCCACAGGCATGACGGGATTTGTTTCACCACAACTGGAAGGCCAGATACATTTCTCTTCACTCTCCAAAGTAAGGGAAATCCCCTCTAACACCCCATTCACACTGAGCAACATGGCTATTGCGTGTTTTTCCGCGCAATTTCGTGCTGAGCAGCTTTGAGCTACATTGCATTGCGCGATAGTGCACATTTTATTGCGCTACGTATCGCATTTTTTGGGCGGGGCTTCGTTGCTGCTACATACATTGGGCTGTAACCAATCAACAGCGATCTTGATGTGACATAATTCTTGCCTTCCATTTTGCAGTGCAAAAGTGACCCTCCTGTAGCGCAATATCGCCGGCAATGCACGATTTTGCGCAACACCGTAGTCTATTGGAGCCGAATCGCGCTATTAGACAGCAATAAAAACCTTGTGATCGGGGGAGAAGCGGCCCATCGCCTATCGGGGAGAAGCGCCCCCTCGCCTCAGCGAGCGGGGGGAGAAGCGGCCCCTCGCCTCGGTGATCAATATAGTGCTTCTTTACATCACCAGTGGGAGAAGAGCCCCTAAAATAGAGGTCATGGGGAGAACTCAATTACAATGGGGGTCTGACAAGAGCTCAATCAGCCTTAAGGAACCCCCAACCACTGCTGAAGTAACCCTGGTTGGGAAAGGCCGCTATGGATGGTTTTCTGTACTACTCTTTATGCATTTTCTTGTGTTATGCGATTTAGTTTTGGCCAATAAAGGTGAACAATAGTCGACATTGCAAGGAGGTGCGGGCTTGTTGTATTAAAATGCATTTTTCATGCACTCCCATTTAAGCCGTACCAAAATATGCACCTGTACCATTTTCCACATGCCATGGAGGTGCATTGCTAAGGTGTGAATGGACACCATAAAAAATAATGGGATTCCTTTAGTCAAGCGTTGTCACGCGACGGGCAATGCGTTTCAAATCACACCGATGTGAACGGGGACTTATTCTTTAATAGCTACTTCCTGACCTGAGTGTCACCGATTTGTACCGGCCGGGGGTAGCGGGGGTGGGGGCCATATACTGAATAGGTAAAGCCAAGTGCAGAAGAGAACATTCAGGCAAATGTTCCACCATTGGAGCTCAGGCCTATTGTTCACATGACAATTGATTTCTTTGGTCATCAATAATGTGGCTGGTGACACACACATACACACATTTTGTTTCCTATAATCTGTCCCATTCAGACCCTCACATGACACAGCAGCCAAATGTACACCTGGCAGGGGAAATCTGTGTGGGGGGGCCAGTTTGGAGTGTTCACGTTATTTTGGCCATGTGGGTGGAAAAGCCTTGTAGGTGTACCTTGTCCTCCCAGGAGGCGTCTCCTCGCAGGGCTTTGCTCCAGGGAGACACCTTCACCCCCCCATTGGACACGGCCTGCTCCTCTTTCCGTTTGGCGTTGCTCATTCTCCGGGCACTGGCAGGGGCAGCCCGTGCTGGAAGGTCCCAGGATCACACAGGTCTCCTAGGATGACGAGCCCGTCCTCAGCCCTGCCCCGGAAGTGACGCACGCGTCCGGAAGTGCTATTGGGACTGCAGCGTGTGGAAGATATCTGCGCTAGCGACGCCATTTTTGTGGAGACCGATAACAAGCCTATGGGGAGGGAGGCGATTTGGAGAATGGAGCTACAACATTAGAGAAATTGTAGGGAACTATCATAAATTATAGGCAAAACAGTGACTATACTAAGTTATTGTAATGGGTTCTATTCCTGTTTGATAGCTACAACAGGAAGTGAGAGGAAATCCTGGCAAAGAGAGGTAAATCCCTGGTGGTCAGCAGTGTTACCAGAACTAGTGTCCCCAATGGAAGATTTCCCATGGATTCCTGTTCTGATGACAACCCAAAATGTGAAATTTTCTTTTAATTATCATTAAAAGAAAATTTTACATTTTGGGTTGTCATCAGAACAGGAATCCATGGGAAATGGTCACCAGGAGAAATGGAGAAGGTGTATCTCCTTATCGGGGACAACAGACAGAAATACATCCTTAACAGAGGTTCTGATCCCTCTTTATCCTATTCAAAAATAAAACAAAGTTTTGGTCTCAGTTGCACTTTAACTGTTGTAGACATTTTTTTTTCTTTGAACATGTATTTATTTATTTAATTATTAATTTATTTTTTTAATGCAACACGGATAAAAATAAAACACAAAATGAACAATTATGTTATACATTCTATGAACGATTAAAGAGATTAAACCTTTATTTCTCACTAGTCATTATTTTATAACTGTTTTTAATATCTCTTTTTTTTTAATCTATTATGAAAGCTGTTGATGAAAATTTGGATAAAATGTTGAAAACAAAAGTTGACATAAACATTTTTAAAATGACACTAAAATTAGGTTTCCAATAACAAAGTCATTTGCAAATGTTTTAAAAGGGCATTTTTCTTTTTCAAATTTGTCCACTTTTTAACACAGATAAAAATAACACAAAAGTTGAAGGAAAGCAAAAAAAAAAGGAAAACATTAATGGTAAAAAATAGAAATAAAAGAAAAAAAAAGCTAAGGGGAGAAGGGAAGGGAGGAGTTAATAAGGGCTGAATTCTGTATTTATCTCATTCTAATGTTCTTTTAAAGGAGAACTATGAGGTGAGTGATTTTCACCTCATAGTTCGAGCCGACGTGTGACAATGAAACTGTCACAGGTTGGCTCAATAGATCGGGAAGTGAGCTAACACATACCGGCGTTCGCTCACTTCTTGATCATGTCCCCGCAAAGAGCCGTGATTGTCACTCGTGGCTCTCTGCAGGGATTCCCCCCCACCCCGCTCTGATCCTCCATCGCTGACTGGAGGAATGAACAGGGGAGGGGGCAGGCACAGCTGGCTCTGCCTCTAGATAGGCAGAGCCAGCTGTCACTCACGCAGCTGGGTGGATCTCGACAGTAATGTCGAGATCCGTCCCGGCTGCGGCGGTCTCCGTATAACGCGGAGGACGCTAGTTTATGTCTTCCCGTGACCCTTAGGAGAACTATGGGGAAAAACACTTACCCCATTGTTCTCTTTTAACTATTGCACATTTTTTTTCTATGAACAATTATATTATACATTCTATGATTTAAGTGCATGAAAGCTTTTATTTTTTATGAGTCATTATTTTATTACTACCTTGGATATCTCCTTTATTATTATTATTTAACATTATAGACAAATTTTAGACACAAAAAAGTACAAAAATATGAAAAACTGTGTTTTTTATTTTTTAATTTGACCAGTATTCATTTTGTTCTTGCTTTTTTTTTAAAATAGTTTTACTGAAAATAAAAAAATAAATAATAAAGATGGATAAAAAGGTGTTTTCTTCAATTTTGTGCTGGTTTTGTGCGACACTGAAAGATAAATAAACTAAACTACTGGGGGGAAAAATTAAACATTATTGGTAAAAAAAAAAAAATCGGAATAAAAAAAAATCAACAGAAAAATAATAGCCAAAGAAGATATGTATGTGAAGGGTCTCATTCATCCAGGTCATGGTATATCTGTAAATAAATAAGTCAAGGCAACTGGATTTGCTGTATTTTTCTTGAAGACATTTCACTGGTCATCTAACCAGCTTTCTCAATTCAGAATTCAAGTTAGAATATCTCTTTTTTTTAATCTATTATGATATCTGTTGATAAATGCATAAAATGTTGACAAAAAAAATTAGAATTGAGAAAGGTGGTTGGATGACCAGTGAAACGTCTTCAAGAAAAATGCAGCAAATCCAGTTGCCTTGACTTATTTTTTTACAGATAAGCCAAAGAAGAGGAATAAAATAAAGTAGTATTAATTAAACTTTTTTTCTATAATGAATGCAGATCAAACAAAAACACATTACCCAGTAAAATATTTCTTTACATTTTTGCCCAAGCTCTTACAGTCATCATGTTTCTGAACAGCTACAACTCTCTCAGCTCGGCTTCCCTGAACTTCATGTCCAGTACAAGCTCACAAGGGACAGAGGAGACTCCAGCAGCCGTCCATCTACTAGCCTGCAGAAGACGGGGGACGGGGGGGATTGAATTTACTTGCTGTATCTGTGTGTTTGGGAAGACACACAACAGCTTACTAGCACACACAAGGGTGGCTCCATAGGACCCTGCAAGGGAAAGGAGCCACCCTAAAACAGGATATCAGGGCCAGTGCTCAGGGGACCAACTGATTCTGCCGGAAATTAAAACTTTTAAACATCAAGGAGCAGCATCCATTGCAAGTGATTTCATCAGCATTTGAAATAGCTTAATAAAACTTTTTGATTTTAATATCACATGAATTAAGGCTGCTTAGTATGATCTAAGTTTTACTAAGGGGTTAAATGGGAATATATTTTCCTAAATTTTGTTTTTTTAATTGTTGGGTGTGTTAAGCTGATGTCATATGTAGATCAGAGATCACGCCTTTGATTTACATATAGATGAAATACTAGGAAATACAATGTAACAATAGATTGTTCTGCTGTTACTCAATGACACTTGAAGACTGTCTGTGGATATCATTTTACAGCAGCAGCTGCTCCTACTATGTAATACAGCAATTTCCTGTATGAGGCTGACACCAGGTCACATTCAGGTACTTACACTGCTTGCATTAAAGGAGAACTATGCGGTCAGTGTTTTTCCCCATAGTTCTCCTTAGGGTAACGGGAGGACACAAACTAGCGTCCTCCCGTTACCCTAAGCTCAGTATACCGCGAGCTACAGCTCGTGGTATACTGAGACGCCGGAGCGGATCCCGACTTAGGCCCCGTTCACATTGAGCGATTTATCGAGCGGTAATTCCTGCGATATCGCGGCAATTTACCGCGCGATATCGCTCTCCAATGCTTCTCAATGGGGCAAAGGGTCCTGCTGTCGCGGGTCGTGCGTCGCTACAGCAGGACCCTTTTTGGAGCGGATTTAGCCGCGATTCAAGCTTGCTCAATGCAAGCATTTGCGCGATATCGTGCGACAAATCGCGCGATATCGCGCATAATGCAAATCACACGACAAACGCGCGATTTGCGATCCGCTCAATGTGAACGGGGCCTGCGATCCGCTCAATGTGAATCCGCCCAGCTGCGTAAGTGACAGCTGGCTCTGCCTATCTAGACGCAGAGCCAGCTGTACCCGCCCCCTCCCCCGTCCGTTCCGCCAGTCAGCGCTGGCAGATCAGAGCGGGGAGGGGGGAATCCAGCCCCTCCCCCTGTCACGGCAGAGAGCCGTGACAGGATCGAGAGGTGAGCAAACCCGGTATGTGTTCGCTCACCTCCCGATCTACTGAGCCGACCTGTGACAGTCTCATTGTCACAGGTCGGCTAGAACTATGAGGTGAGTGAAAAGCACTCACCTCATAGTTCTCCTTTAAAACAAATAATAATAATAATGATGTATTAATAATTAAAGAGCCGCATTCCTTTATAACTCCGGGAGTTCAGCTTTCAAGTACATACAAAGCCTACACTTTTTTTTTTTAGATTGGGATAGAGTGGTGAAGGGTTAAAAATCAGGTTTTTAATGCTGTCTCCCCAAAGGTTTATCCCACCAGCCCCTTGTCAGATACCTGGACCCTGATGCATGCTGTGGTTCCTCCAGCTGGCCCCTACATCACTTTGTCTGATACCTGGACCCCGATGCAAGCTGTGTTTCGTCCCAGTGGCCCCAACATCACTTTGTCTGATACCTGGACTCCGATGCAAGCTGTGTTTTGTCCCAGTGGCCCCTACATCACTTTGTCTGATACCTGGACCCCGATGCAAGCTGTGTTTCGTCCTAGTGGCCCCAACATCACTTTGCCTGATACCTGGACCCCGATGCATGCTGTGTTTCTTCCCAGTGACCCCAATGTTATTCTGTCAGATACCTAGACCCCCGCTACCTGCTGTGGTTCCTCCAGCCGGCCCCTAGATCACTTTGGCAGATCCCAATGGCCCCAAGATTTGTCAGATACCTGGACCCTGATGCATGCTTTGTTTCCTCCCAATGGCCCCAAGATTTGTCAGATACCTGGACCCTACTGCACAGTGTGGTTTCTCCAGCCAGCACCTATATCACTTTGTCAAATACCTTGACCCCGATGCATGCTGTGTTTGCTCCCAGTGGCCTCACCAGTACTTTGTCAGATATCTGAAATCAACTGCACACTGTGGTTCCTCCAACTGGTCCCTACTGTATATCAGTGCGATTTTGCAGTTTGTGCTACAAACCTAATGCCCCTTTTTTTGTGTGGGCAAAGACATGCATTTAGCGTCGTGTTTGGCATGCCATTAACAAGCAATGGCGTTGCATACACGTCACATGGTTTTACCACATTGCCAGAATGTACATGGCACTAGGCAAGTGTGCACAGGGCCTTAGGCACAGGCCTATGACACCCCAGAACTTGGAATAGAGGGGCTGATGTCTGAGAACCCCTTGTTGCCCATAGCATCTATTCAGCATTCCTGTTTCACTCTCAAACCACGCACTGCTGGGGCAGCTGACAGGTTGCTATGGGCAACAGAAGCCTTATGATACACTTTCCATTCAGCACCTCCACAGCCTTTGATGACCAGGCCCCTCTTATCCCGGCCCCTCCCCCTCTCTTTTCCATCCCGGTCACGTGTTCGTGTTTTACTAGCGGCGGTTGGCGCTGGTTTGAGTTCGTCCTGCCCAGGCAAAAGATTGTCACGTGGCGTCCGGGCGACCAATCGCCGCTCTGCGTTGGTTTCTCGGAGCCAGAGCGTCGCCGCCTGCTCCCGGGCCCTGAAAAGTGTGGAGAGCGGGGACGGAGGAGGTCCGGCCTGTGTGCGTGTGTGGCGGTGAGTGACGGCACGGACACAGTGCTGGCGAGTCATGAGGCCTTTGTGGGAGAACCGGCCATGGGTGCTTACATGTGGCTGAGGGGGAGTCCACACTGGGTGATAGGGGAGCAGTATGGACATTCTCGTCTACTGGGGGTGAGGGGAGGTGGTAGAGAGGAATGGAAGTGCCCGGACAGACGAGTCACCCTTGCTAGGCTATAGTGCAGAACTAGGCCCCACTTGTGTCTCTGGGAACAGGCAGGCTTGGAGTGCACCAACCTGCCCATACATGGGAAGACATGGTTGCTCATTGGGTTGGGGGGCCAGTCATGTTCCAATGAAAGGATAACTTTGTTTGCATATGTACCTATTACCACATACCCAAAGCTTTTATTTTTGTTCATTTTGTATAGTGCTGTGGAAGGTTAAAATAGCTTTCAGGGCTATCTGTGTCTCATTGGAGAGATTTCCCTTCACTTCCTGTCCTGTGGACTCAACAGGAAGTGAGGATATCTTTTCAGTGAGAGTGAACTCCCCTCTTACGTAGTTGTCATCGGAAACAAGTGTCCCCAATGGAGCGATTCCCTTCTATTCCTAGTTACATAGTTTACCCATCACTTTCATTCCTGGTGAGCAGGCCAATGACAGAGGGGGACCCCCCTAATGGTGACCCCCCAACAGCAGTAGAGACCACACAGGGTTCCAGCTCCTCCCCATTCCATCCAGATCACAATGCACACCCATCCATGCACAGATTTTATAACTCATCGCAGTGCTTATTGTTTTATGTAAAATTCTATGATCTGCAGTGTGTTGTGATGCATTGCAATGTGCTGCCTGCGTCATGTTATTGTAATGCATGCCAATGCACTGAACGGGCCCTATACAGAGCAAGAGGCTTTGTGTTGGGAAATGCTGCCCAGCAGCCCCCTCTTCTGTATTTGTATATATTTGTGTGTTCTGTGTCCCATTGGAGAGATTCCACTTCCTGTCCTGGAGATGCAACTGGAAGTGAGAGGAAATCTCTACATCGGGTAGAAAAACTTCGGTCCTCCAGCAGTGATGAAACTACAAGTCCCATGAGGCATTGCAAGACTGACAGCCACAGGCATGAGGACTTCAGATGCATGATAGGATTTGTAGTTTAATTACAGCTACAAGGCAAGTCCCATGAAGCATTGCAAGACTCTTCAGTCACAGGCATGACTTCAGAGGCAGCTGCATGATGGGTTTTGTAGTATCACTGCACCTGGAGGGCTGAAGTTTGGCTGCCCCCCTCTCTACATTCTCCTCTAAAGTTGGTTGTACACCTGTAGTTTCGTTCGGCCCCACAGACTGAAATCACACGATTCTCCCATCCATTCTAGAGAGCCTGCTGACTTTTGTATCCTGAAAGCTGCCGCCCACCGCGGTCAGAATACCCGAGCAGTGACTGCTCCTGATTGGCTGCAGTCTCACCGTTCATCCAATGGCCCCGCTCCTATGGTAGAAGTCAATTTGGGTAATCAGCTTAACCGCGACTGCCTTCATGCCCGAGCATTGACTTCATCTGTCCTGAGCTGATGCTAATCATTTTTTTATCTGACTCGACAGGGCCGCCCACAGCTTGAATTTTGGCCAATTCAGCAGAAATTCTGACCAGCTTTATCTGTCACTTGAGATCAGGTGTCCACATTGGAAGATTTCTCCTCAATCCTCGTTCTGCTGACAACTGCAAAGTTTGTTTTCTCTTGCCTTTACATGGCTTTTTTTTTAAAAATGAAAAAAAACTTGCCCTTGCCAGTGGGGCTACCCCCACCCACACCCTGCGGGGGTTAAGTGCTTGTTTTGGTCTAGGGGCTGGAATAAAGCAGAATTACCTGATCCCTGGAGCCCCCCCCCCCTTCAAATGAGGAGCCCCCCCCCTCAATGCTACTTTAAAAAAATTTCGTCACCGTGGTTGAAATCGATTTCACCCCGTCAACGATTAGAAAGTCGAACTAGCATTCCGAAATCAATTCCATACGTCTGAAATTCTAACACTGTATAGCCCTCTTAGTTTTCATTTTAATGTCTGTGTTCCATTGAGGAGATTTCCCTTCACTTCCTGTTAGAGACACAGCTTTAAGTAAGAGAAAATCTCTACAAAGCTTCCCATACATACACCTTACAGTAATCGTTCCATTTTATTTGTCCCGCCATCGCACCCTCGTTCAATTTCCACACAAATAGCCTACCATGCACAGATCAAGATAGATTTCGATAATTGTTAAACCTTACAATTAAGAGGGGGCACCTTAAAGCATAGGGAATCCCCCTCTTAATTGTCACTGTAATAGAAGATTTCTCCTTTAACCTTGTTCTAATGACAACTGTCAAATTTGGGATTTCCCATCACTTTGTCAGCAGTGGAAATAGGGTGAATCTATCCAATGCGGGGCACAGACAGCTGTGAAAACTTGGGTTTTAATCCTTTCTACTAGGGATGCACTGATACCATTTTTTTGGTATTGAGTATGAGTACCGATATTTTTTTTAATTGATACTAACAGATACTGGAAGTCCTATTAAAGGAGAACTATGGGGTCAGGGCTTTTCCCCATAGTTCTCCTTAGGGTAACGGGAGGACACAAACTAGCGTCCTCCCGTCACCCTAGGCTCAGTATACCGCGAGCTACAGCTCGCGGTATACTGAGACGCCGGAGCGGATCCCAACATCGATGTCGAGATCCGCCCAGCTGCGTGACAGCTGTCTCTGCCTATCAAGAGGCAGAACCAGCTGTACCCGCCCCCTCCCCCGTCCGATCCGCCAGTCAGCGCTGGCGGATGGGAGGGGGGAATGCTGCCCCTCCCCTGTCACGGCTCTCTGCCTATCTAGAGGCAGAGCCAGCTGTACCCTCCCCCGTCCGATCCGCCAGTCAGCGCTGGCGGATGGGAGGGGGGAATGCAGCCCCTCCCCTGTCACGGCAGAGAGCCGTGACAGGATCGAGCAGTGAGCGAACGCCGGTATGTGTTCGCTCACCTCCCGCTCTACTGAGCCGACCTGTGACAGTCTCATTGTCACAGGTCGGCTAGAACTATGAGGTGAGTGAAAAGCACTCACCTCATAGTTCTCCTTTAAGGAAGCCGGGGGGTGTGTAATGACTCACCAGGTGACGGAGAAGCATGGAGCCGGCTTTCCGGCCAATCAGGAAGCCAGGGGGCATGTAATGACTCACTAGGTGACGAGGAAGCATGGAGCCGGCTTCCCAGCCAATCAGAAAGCCGGGCAGCATGTAATGGCTCGCCACCTGGCTGTTGGGATGAGTACTACTCAGTATCCGCACTTATACCATTGCTAGTATCGGTGCATCCCTATTTTCTACTATTTTTCCAGAGCATTGGCTATATTTTCAGCAAAGTTCACCTCCTGTATGGGAGGTACTGATTGTTCTTTAGATTAGGGTGTCCAATCATGATCCAATGCAAACAAATGATGCACATGCATGGCTTATGAAAGTTGGGCTGTACAGTTGTCGTAAATGATAATATTCGCGTTGAGCTGTTTAAAGAGTATCTATGGTCAAATGCCCATAGGATGTGCTTCATCAAGGGACTGATGCAATTTCACTTTCTCAGAGCCTGTCTTCTGAACTACAATTTTAAACAATGTAACATTATCATTGCTTGCTGGAAGCAATGCATGATGGGATATGTAGTCTTTAGATTGCATCACTTTAGGCAGTGTGGAGTAAGATGCAAAGCACACTGGGAATCCAGGAAGTCGATGAAAGTGATGGGCAGAAGGAAGGCAGCGCTAATTACATAAAAGGATATAGGTGTATCTTGAAAGGAAAACTTATCTTGGAGTAAAGCAGGGACAGGCACTTTGTACACTACAAATAAAGTTTGAAAGAGAAAAAAAGGAAGCCATGTGATGCATTGCCTCACACCTACTGGACCTGTCAAACCACACTAGCCCGCACACTACAACTGAGCGTTTTAGCAGGAGGGCTGGTGTGATTGGGCCCTCATCTCCATCATCCTGCTCTATGACCTGTACATTAACCCTTCACCTCCTCCCTCTGTCTATGACCTGTACATTAATGATGCCCTTTATCTAGTGCTCTAGTACTATGCTCCATGTTTTAGGGACTGTTCGCACCATGCCCCTTTTGTTGTGGTTTTCTGTACACCACAGCACATGTATGGTATGAACAGGTCACCTAAAAAACAATTGTTCTCTCTGTGCCCTGTGCATACCGTACGTATGCAGTGATGCATAGAAAATTACATGGTGGGAACAAGCCCTTAACCACTTCAAGACCAGGTGTTTAGACCCCCTTCCTGGCAGGGGGGGGCCGCGGAGGGGGGGGGACACACACACCGATCGGCACCCAATACACGCGATCCGCCGGCTCTAAAGCCGGCGGATCGCTTGTATGGTATCAGGCATCGCTGCCTGTTTTTAAAAAACGGCAATTTCCCGCGCGCGCGAGGGGGCGTGTCTGAGCGTTTTTCTACTACGGCCGGCCCGGAGGCAGTTAAAGTGGAAGTTAAAGTAAAATTAAGCCCTTGGTATTTTTTTTCTCCTTTTTTTTTAAAACAAACTTTATTGCTTATGTTTTTTTCAAAAACAACCTATTCATTGAAAAAACATAAACAATAAAGTTTGTTTAAAAAAAAAAAGAGAAAAACAAATATCTTGCTCTGATTAGGAGAATTGATTAGACACGAACACAGCAGAAAAGAGTAAAACGGCACATGCAGGCAGCAGCTGTTGCCAATCTAGAGTGGGCGGGGATGTGGATGTCCGCAGGACGTCATCCTGTAGTCCTGGCTCAGGTCGGGAGCGCGCACACAGACACCATGTAACATTCCAGAGACAAGGCAGTCAGCTGCAAAACGAAAGTTCTCCCCAGCATGAGAACAGATACAGATTTAAAAGGAAGAGCAGCAAAGAGAATGGAAACTACCATGAATTACAGTAAGGCGCACATTACAGTATTGTTTTATGTTAAAAGAAATCCGAGGGTTTAATGTCACTTTAAGTTTACAAA